AAAAATGGTTCTTTTTCAGTCAAGGCATTATGGGGGTTGTTGTGGGGGGGGGGAACCCAATACTGTACAAACCAGCCTGCCACTCTTTGAGAAGGAAGCCCTGCAGGGTCTCTCTCCTCCGCCCCACAGGTATGTCTCTCTGTGTGCAACCTTTTTAAAAGGCGAATCACCATACAAAGCTGCTTTTGATAGGATGGGGAGAAAAGCTGTAGAAAGAGCCTGTGTGGGTAGAGAAACAAGGAATGGGGAGAGGAAAAGAGACAGAGGGGTGTCCAGTCTGGCCTCTCTTCCGTATTTCCTCCGAAGACACAGTTCCGTACACATGGTTAGCAATGGCTGGGTTTTTTTGGGTTTTTTGGGGGAAGGGGGTTGTGGCAGGGTCATGCCCCGTGGACCCCAAATCGCTCCGCATCCTTGTATGGTGAGATGGAGGGAGGGCGTGTCTCCCCCCCCCCCAAAAAAAATAAGGATCAGCTTCCCTCTTTTCCTGCAAATCCTATAGGGTCATAAAAGTCTTCTAGATGTAGAGAAGCCTGGAGGATTTCGTTTGCCTCCCAGTTTACGGATGGCTTCCTTTGTTTATTTCAGAAAGTTACATCCTGCTTTTCCGCCCGTAGTGCTCAGCCTGGTCAAAAACAAAAACAAAATGAAAAATAAACAATTCCAACGGGATTAAAAATCCCTAACAACGATCGGCTAAGAAATCAACAGCATCAGACTCCGTCTAGGGCTCCCTGGTTTATGCCCATTTTACAGCTGAAGGAAACTGAGGCTGACTCTCGTACAGCCTGACCTGAGGCCGCCGGGACGCAACACACTCATTTTTTCTATCTTTGGAGATGAAACTCCGGAAAGTCCCAAAATAGCATGGGAATTTCCTCCAGCCGATAAACAGATGCAGTTGAATGCCGGCCCCCTTATCTCTGTCTTTACAGCTATAAAATACGCATCTTCAATTTGGAAGGTTTTTGTGGCATGACTACACAACTCATAGGGAAACAAGAAGGATGACCACATCAGAATGTAAAAGCAGGGAAACCAGAGGTTAGGAGGAAGATCTTCTGACTTTTCTTCTTAGTACTGGTAGGGAAGCAACACCTTGTGGTTTGATGTGAGCGTGGGAGGCAAAGGTTCCCCCCCCCCAGGGCTTCTCTGCCTTGACCTGCTGCATTGCAGTCAAAAACAATCAGATTGGGGGGGGGGTGTATGGGTTTGCTTCTTTGTTCATCTGCTGGATTTCTACTCGCCTTGAAGGTAATTCAATTAAAAGCACAGGAGCCCTAGTCAAAAGAAAAGCTGGTCCCTTAGAGATAAGAAACACTTTTGATTCATTGCAGGTTCTTAAAAAGAAGTAGAATTCAGAGACATGTTTAAAGACCCAGCACTGTTTTTCCCTCCTAGCTGCTGTTTTAAGAGCATCTTGATCTGGAAAATATATTTTAGAAGTGCAGTGCAAGAATGGACCCTCTGGACCCTCGAGTCCAGCCCTTGACAAAGAAGCATTTTGAGAAATCAAACTCCCAACCTCTGGCTAAGCAGCCAGATGCCTAAACCACTGGGCTATCCAGCGGATGAAGTTGCTGTCGGAGGCACAGGAGCAAACTAGAGCAGCACTTTGATCCGATGGCAACCTCAGAGGCCTGCGATGCCCATTGTAATATGAGAGATATATTTTGCGTGTGTGTAAGTACAGGTACCCATATACACACCTACATGAAGAAGTAGAGGGTTGCGCATTGGGGAGATGATAAACGAGATCCACCCTAGACACAAAGGAATGTCTAGCAAATATTTCTCCAAAAAGCTTGTTTCACAGACCTCTTTTTGTCTTACTTCTTCCTCCAACTTCCTTATTATCAGACGCTCCTAACTCCACATGCATTTCACAAGAAAGCAAAGGCAGAAGCCACTGCCGTTTTGTGGCCGGGGGGAGTCTTGCAGGATCGGCTCATTTGTCCACAATCGTGGGATGAGAAGATGTGATGTCAAACCAGAGTCGGGGGCCCTTTTGATCTTGGAAGGAAGGAGAAGCTTAAAAATAGACTCTTCCTGCAGCAGAAATAGAGGCCGGGAAGCTAAAAATGTGGTGTTTAGCTATGGGGCACGGCAGTGGCCTGTCTCAACCAACTTTGGGAGGAAGTGTGGTATATAGCAGTTAGGCTGCTCGAACTGAACCAGAGAGGCCTGGGTTCAAATCCCTTTTCACCCATGATATTCCTTGTGTGGCCAAGCCATCTTGCAGGTCTACTGTGTAGAGGAGAGAGAACCAAGGAGCAATCAAATCCCTCATCTGTGAGTTTTGCTTTCTGTAAGAGATGAAGTCTATATGACTGGTCAAAATAAACTCTACAAACTGATTTATCCTGATTTTAACCCATTTCTGGACCTTCACACCTCGTAGCACTCCAAGAACAGCAGCTAAGGGTCTCAGTGTATTGCTTCTAACCCCCCCCCACTTACCCAGTGCTTTGGGGGCTCCACCTTCTCCCAGTGTCTCACAGCATTAAGCACCCCATTGACCTCAGACAGCCGTAAGTAAACACACAGAGAATCAGACACCACAGTATGCAAGAGTACAGCATAGCAGCCTGGCAACCTTCTGTCCTCTGGTCAGGGAAGATGAAATGGGTCGTGCAGCATGCTCCCGAGATGCATCTGGCTTGTAAACCCAGCAGTTCATTCCTGGAGAGAAAACAGAGCTGATGAGCATAGGATTATAAATAGATTTAGGCTGAATATCTGGGGAAACGTCTTACCTATTAGAGCAATACGACAATGGACCCACGGGAAGTGGGGAGCAGTGCTCCAACATTGGAGGCATTCAAGGAAAAATCTGCCTTGATTTGGATTTCTGCTTTGAGCAGAGGGTTGGACTGGTTGGCCTTAGAGGCCCCTTCCGACTCTGTTATTCTGTGATTCCGGGAAGTGGATTGGCAGTTGCGCTTTGGAAGCTGGTAAGGGCTGTCCGGCTTTGCCTTCTCGGTTGATTTTGGCTTCAGCACCAAGAGCCTCTCCTGGCCCCTTCCGACTCTGTTATTCTATGATTCCGGGAAGTGGATCGGCAGTTGCGCTTTGGAGGCTGGTAAGGGCTGTCCGGCTTCAGCACCAAGAGCCTCTCCCTTTAAGATCTTTACACCTGACTGGAATGCATCTAATGCCTTCAGGTTAAGATTACTTCCACTCCGATTCAGAAACTCTTTAAGATTACCAATCGCAATTCATTGACTTAATGTATCTTTCTGAAATTTTACCCGAGGCGGCAGCTGGCATAGAAGACCCAGATGAGCATTTCATGGAGGAAAAGAGGATGATGTGGAGCCCAGCCTTTTTCTTCTCCTTCATCATCCTCTCTTCAATCCAGCCTTTTGTTCTTGCTTTGAATGTTGGGAGGTGCTGGTTTTTCCCTGCTCCAAAAAAGATGCTGTAAATCTTCCTGTGTTAAAAAACGGCACCTGCTACTTTTTTCCCATATGCCTAGGTGTTTTTAGGAACACCGGAGCCGACCAGGTGTGTTTTAGTTGCAGTCTTGTAGAGATGGCACCCACTAGACTCGAGGACCATGCCGGGTGGCCATCGGATGTGTAGAGGGTTGTTTTTAACTATTCTCCTTCTTAGTTTCAAAAAAATGTCTTCCTTCTTCAGAAAAATACCTTCAAATTATGTTGAAAAATTAACACGAACTTTTGGCGGAGACCACATTTCTCTGACATGGTGTTCCGTTTTTAAACTGAGAAGAAGTTACAGTATTTTGCTGAATGTGGGAGCATTTCAAACCTAGTTTGGCTCATCAAAACAACAACAACATCCAAATCAACATTTCTTCCTTAATCAACACAAATATTTGTTTCCTAAACTGAGGAGCAAGAGGACTGCTGGATAGCTCAGTGGTTTAAGTCTCTGACTGCAGAGCCAGAGGTTGGGAGTTCAATTCTCCACTGTGGCTCCTTGACAAGGGCTGGACTAGATGATCTATTGGGTCCCTTCCAGCTCTGTAGTTCTAAGATGACAACAACAATGATGGATCTACTGCTTGCTATGCAGTCCAGTGTGAATTATATGGTTGAGGTCCCTGGCACCAGAGGTTGGGGGGTTTGTGCTTCCTTGGCAGGAGCTGGACTTGATGATCTATAGGGTCCCTTCTTGCTCTGAAGTTCTGAAGATTCTTATTGTTAAGATGGAAGGTAGTTGTTCAAAGTTTTCCAACAGCCTGATGTTTTCTGCCCCATGCATCGATTTCTAACTTGGAATGGTTTGCACCTTCCCTTCTGTAAATGCTTAAGCTATAGGGTCCCTTCTTGCTCTGAAGTTCTAAAGATCCTTATTGTTAAGACGGAAGGTAGTTGTTCAGAGTTTTCCAACAGCCTGACGTTTTCTGCCCCATGCATCAATTTCTAACTTGAAGTGGTTTGCACCTTCCCTTCTGTAAATCCTTGTCTTCGTGCAGGTCGTGACAGATGCTCTTGCAAAGCTTAGCTCTCCTCTTCGCAAGAGGCAGGGAGCGTCTGATCTCATTGCAAACAGAACCAGCAAAAGACGCTCCCGAGGTTCTCTCTCACTCCCTGTCTCTCTCTGTACAGAAAGCTACGGGGACACTTACAAGAAGAACCGGCATAGCATCTTCTTCGGGTTTAACATATCCCACATCCGGATGGTGCTTCACGATCCAAACCTGTTGTATCGGGCTGAGCTGAGAATGCGTGCCTTTGGATCGAGCCAGGAACAACGGCTGGAACTTTACCAGGTGCGGTGGGAAGGGCCGGGACAAACGGTCCATTTGCCGCGACAACAGGACACAACAGGAGAGAGTGGCCCACATCGTGTTGAATTCCTCCCCAAAGTCAGAGGGGCTGTAGAATGTGTGTTGTGTTGCACCCTCTAATAGGGAGACCCTTCGGTCTACTCCTACATAAGTTGGTGAGGTTGATGGCTATTCATTGGGGTGATGAAAAAAAATACTCTGCATATGCTCAGAGGGACTTTTTTTTAAATATCTAGGGCCGATCCCTGAAAGTTGAGGTACATACCTTGTCCAGAATCTTGTTAGTAAATGCCAAATGTCATGGTCCCAGAGCAGAAAACTTTCACACAATTTCTGGCTGGCATTTATACCAGCTGGGTATCACCCTGTTGAAAGCAACAAGGCCTCCTTGTGTGCAAGGGTAGTGAATTTTGTTAGCCAAATCCTGAGGTTGGGGGTGTGTGTGTGGGGAGACAACCACATATGCAATAGGCCATTGCACAGAAAAGGGGAAAAAATCAACAAGTTTTGACCTTTATTTCTAATGAGGTTTGGCTCAACTTAAGTCCTCAAGCCAGACTACGTCAAGAGAAGGGAGGGTGGAGAAAAGGAAATTTCTGGGTGGCTGGTTTCAAAATCGGCATCTCCCATTTCTTCCGTTCTTGAAAACACAACCCATTCTCTGCATGACCTGCGTTGTGCAAAATGAAATCTTGGGCGCTGTGGAGGGCTTGGGAGAGAAAACGGAAGCCTGGAAAACGTGGGTGGGTCATTTGAAGGGTACAGAACTCCTCGCTTTTTAATCCTAGAGGCATTCCGCCGATTTCTGCCTGCTTTTACCAAAGCAGCCCTTGAGAACTTGAAACTTGGGGGTTGTTTTTAATTCAAAGGCGGACTTTTCAGACACCAACCCACTGCAGTACTTTGTGCCTGAAATGGCCCCCTAAAGGAGCCAGAAATTTGGGGTTGCTTATGACTTTGCTTGGTACTTGGAACAGCTGTGTTGTTTGCTCTCAATTTGCTAATCCAGCCTTTTGTCCACCCCCCATCATCCTCCAGCAACACCACTTCCGGAACACCTCCACTTGGTACTACCTGGACGGGCGCCTCGTTAAGTTGAAGGCCGAGAAGGAATGGCTTTCCTTTGATGTCACCACCGTCCTGCGGCTGTGGCTGGCGAGTATAGGTAAGCGAAAATGGCATCGAAATGAGGAGAGGGGGAAAGTTCTGTCGTTGATATCTGTTCACCTGCTCCTGGGGCTTTGGTATTTAGGGCTATTAAATCAATCGTTGCAAAAATTCAAAGTATGACCCGTTTTCAATTCTGCACCCAGTCACCTGGATCCAGGGGGGTGGTGTACACAGGCTCATGAAATCTGCATGCATTTGGGGAAAGTATTGCAAAAAGAATCCTTGAAAACTTGAGCAGATCCTTTGAACATAGACAGAAGAGTGCATTTCTGGTTCATTTGCTCTACTGGTGCAGCAGAAGTGCAAGGATTCACAGAACAGCTTCAAGTCCCCACAATTTGGTCCACGCCTTTTTTAAATTTCTCATCCACTGGTGCTTACAGTCTCAGCTGTAGTGCTGGCGAGATTGACGGTCACCTCAGCCCTGAAAGGTCCTTCCCAACCACACCTTCTAAAGGAAGTACGCAAGGTGGCCAAAAGTCCAGCACAATATAGGCTACAACACCCCATGGACTGGCATGAAGAGACTGGCCCCAGTTAAGGCCTCCTTTACTGCATCAGTGCAGACATCCAGCTGCTCAAGATCCACGGCGGCCAGTCCTTCTAGGAAGCCCACAGCAAACCACCCACAGAAAGTCTCCAACCTGTATCCCGACATATCTGAAAGGGCCTTGATTCGGAAAGGCCGCAGTGAATCAAACCGGCTCTGTGTCCATTTCAGTGGCCTTCCTTAAAAACTGGGCCGGACGGGTGTATCCCGACATATCTGAAAGGGCCTTGATTCGGAAAGGCTGCGGTGAATCAAACCCGCTCTGTGTCCATTTCAGTGGTGCTGGAATGGATGCAGCCGCTTTTCCTGGTAGGGATTCTTGCTGCAGGCCTTCATCAATAAATAGATCGCCTTCAGGCCCATGCTCTGTGATGCCGGAGGGGATCTCCCCGACCTGTAACCCTAAAGCCCAGGAAAAGTTTGAGCACCAGATTCGACAGAACCCAAAACGTGTCATGATGACTTTTACAAAAGTGTCCCCCAGCACTGAAATGGCAACTTGCAAGTAGAAAGCCAGCTCATCAAGGTTTAAGATACACTCCTCTTTCCCTGATGTGTTTTGTATAACATTTTGCAAGAAGGTGCCGACCGCAATACCACATCGCTTCGTCGCTCCATGGCCTCGCCACCCTCCCAGTCTTAAAGGCTATGCTGTCTCCGTTGGCCACCTCCCTCCTCTATAATGGATCTACATGAGACAGTGGATGAGATGGGAAGGCTGGTGTTAAATGTATTCCTTCAGACGAGAGGGGTGTGGACTCCTTTTTCCAACCGCTTACAGAGCAAATAATAACAAAACACTCCCTAAAATTCGGCACGGCAGCAAGAGAAGTGGCTTGGAAACTCCTCCCCGAGGCCTGAAACATACACGTTTTCTCCTTGGGTTTGAGATGTAATTAAATGTAAGTCTCAAATTGATTATGCCTTGTCATGAGAGTCTTTAAAAAAAAAAAAGCAACCAAGCTGACAGCCCAATCTGAAACAGTACAATCTCCTTTTTTAAACAGTACAATCTCCTCTGGCATTTCATTCTGTCTTCTGCGTTGGTCTCCCTGGGCCCTGTTGCAAACTTTTGAGTTTCTGGTTAAATTCCTCTAGCAGTGCAGCAGAAGTTCAAGGATTCACAGAAAAGAATAGCTGCAAATTCTCCAGAGTAGTTCTGCCCCGTTTTTCTCATCCATTGGCACTTGCAGTCCCGATAACGCACTCTTAAGACATTAGTAGGAGAAAGAATAAAGACATGTCATTTACTTACAGATCAACAGCAACTGGCAAAACATGACTGCTTTCAACAACAAACTTTAACACAATAAAAGACAGGGAAAGGGATACAGAGCAGAGGGGCGAAGCATTCTTTGAATTCAAAGGCTGGGAAGGAAGGAATGATTAGTGCTGGATAGTTTGACAGTCACCTCAGCCCAGAATGGTTCCTCCCTGCCAAACCTCCCAGAGGCAGCATGCAAAACCCCCAACTGTGTCGACAGTCGCTCCGTGTGTTGCAGATGCATCCGTGAAAACACTCCAGCGCCTCTCCCTTCAGGGGCCGGAACTTCCCCACGGATTGCTCTCATGCCCAGGGGTGTGGGAGTAAAAGACGGGGGAGAGAGAGAAGGCTGCGCCATGCCACGCCACACCCCGGGCACGCTGCCATGGGGTTCCGGAAGGAGCCAGATCAAAAGCGTACATGCGTCAGGCGTGCTTGGCATGCGCCCCTTTCTGGCTGCTTTCTTTGCCACAGTTGCCAGTAAAAGGAGGGAGAAGAGGGGAAAAAATAAAAAATGCAGATGGGAGCAGGATTAGAGCCGAAGGGGCTTAGCTTCTTAGCGAGGGGTCCCCTCTTTGGGGTCTTCAGAGCCAGACCTAAAATCAAAGGGGAGGTGGAACGCCCAGGGTTGGACAAAGCCTAAGCAAAAAACAAAAGAAAACAAAAAGGGGTGTGTGTGTTTTATTGACGGATTGTTGTATCTGAAAGAAAGCTCACTTCACACTTTGCCCCCTTCCTCGCCACAGAGGCGCATGTCGAAACACGAGATCCACCTTAACGTCTTGCTGTACTTTGGGCCTGATTTTCGTGGGAGTCCATTTGTCCGCTTGTTTGCTGCATTGGTAATTAAAATGCAAAACCTCTGTTAAAAAGGCCAGTTCTGTGTGGGAGGCAGCCAAATCACGGAGCTGGCCATTGACGTCCACATCAAATATGTCGTTTCACTTTGTAAAGTAAAAAATAAATCCTCCTAGATTTAAATCCGGCCAGAGTTAGGGTTCCGCCTCAGGCGACGGATTTTCGTGGGTGCGTGATTCCGTGGTGGCGAATTCCACCTCCCTTCCTCTCTCCTCACGGAGGACTAGGAGCATGACCTAAAAATCCGCCTTTGTGCATTGCAGAGAATCTGGGAAGATTCCGCCTCAGCGCTCACTGTTCCTGTGAGACCACCCCGGAGGAACTGAAAGTGGACATAGAAGGTAAACCCTGAGGAATGGGCGCGAGGGTTGGACTGGCTGGAATCTGTACGGATTTGGTTCAAGGAGACAGGTTCCCGCCCTGTCTGGTGCATGGCATTTGCGAAAACAGCTCATTTCTGAACCAAAGAATGGCATGAGGGTTTTTGGGATCAAACACCCGTTTTTGAATCAGTTTTGGGAGAGCTCTGTGCATTTCAAAGGGGGGTGGGTCTTTGCACCCGGGCCCATAACAAAGGCCCTTTCCATGCACCCCCATGTCCTCTTCCCTAAAAGCCTGCAAGACCCGGCTGCCGGGGTTGTCAAGAGGATGCTTAGGAGGTTTCTTGGATGCAGGATGAGACCTGCCCTCTTGTGCGAATCAGGCGAGTTTCTGGCCTCATGATCATTCTCCTGACCCACACGCCTGCCATCCTTTCAGCCTCAGGCAAGGTGGGAGAACCTCATGGGGAGGATGGGAAGTCTTGACTCAGCTGAACCAGGTGATCCGGTAGGATCGGAATACCCCCCCCCCAGGAAGCCGTGTGAAAGCGCACAGCCTCACACACAAAGCCGAACTTGTGTTAGATCACTAACCGTTGTGTTAAGCTATAGATATGCTGCAGCCAGGCCTTATAGGATCAAAGCTTTTCTGAGTAGCAGACTATAAAATCATACACCACAACAGACTTCCCTGTTTCCTCTGAACCTATCCACAGTCCTCAAATTAGCAGAGAGAGAGAGAGAGAGATGGATTCCCCCCCCTCCAGGAACAATATAATATTGCAAACTATTGTTGTTGCAGTGCAAAGTATTTAGAGCAGTTTAATTTTGAGTTGGCCATGGAGAGCCATTAGCTGTACAAAAGACCAGCTCCTCATTGTTCAACGTGGATTGATCTGTCCGTCTGTGCAGTTTCGGACTCTGCTTGTGAGGAGAGGCTGGTTATAGGGGTTGTCATGACAAGCGCCCGCATTTCCAAAATTTACCACCACATGGCTGGTGAATATGTGTGCCGCTGTCAGTATTAAGTCAACATCCCGCTTGCATCCACTGTATAGGTGACCAGATTGGGGGTGGGGGGGTTCCTCCGTCTGAGGAAAAGGGCTACCGCATACCACAACTTGTCAGTTCTGGTTTATGGCGTCCCTTTTTAGGGTTTTCCAGGTAGAGAATACTCAGAAGTGGTTTCCCATTCCTTTCCTCTAGGGGGAGCCCTGGAACTGTGTGCAGCTTGCCCAGGGCTACCCAGGCTGGCTCTACTTGCAGAAAGCCCATTGGGGGGAATCGAACTCCCAACTTCTACCTCTGTAACCAGAGACCTAAACCACTAAGCTATCTAGTCAGCTAACAACAGCCTAAACACAACCCCGATAACTGTTCTCTGCAGCTACTACAGGATATGAGAGATCTTTTTATAATACTGTAATTTTAAAAAAAATAGTAATTAGGGAGGCAATTAAAGGAGACCGTTGGGGTGGATGTACCCCTCTGTAATCTGAGGGACGTACATGGCATCTCTCTGGAAATTGACCACCTTTGGTTTAAACTGTGGGCCAAAGCACCATAACTCTTGGAAGTCATGTTGGTGAACTCACTGCCAGCCGAAAAAAAAATTAGAAAAGGCTGTGGGGTCCTTACATGATACAGATGCAGGAAATGGTGTGTGTGGGGGGGAACAATACTTTTAGTAAACGAGGGGGGGGGGGGAAACGATACTTTTAGTATCGTTTAATGGCACATGATTAATGTGCAGTATCGTTCAATGGCACATGATTATACTTTTAGTATAATCATGTGCCATTAAGTCAATTCTGACTGAGGGCAACACTTTCTGGGGTTTTCTATGGAAGCCAATATAAAGAAATGGTTTCCCAGTCCGTTCTTCTGGGGGCATCCTGGGGGACCACTCAGACGTGGTTTCCCAGTCCCTTCTTCTGGGGGCATCCTGGGGGGACCATTCAGCTTGCCCAAGGCCACCCAGGCTGGCTCTTCTGAGATGCACAGTCGGGGAATCAAACTCCCAACCTTTGGCACTTAACTCCCTGAGCCATCCGACCAGGTTCTGGCTCGCTGGAGCCTCAGATTTATATCTGCTGGAATGGCTCCCCAAGTTCCCAGGCTGGCTCTTCTGAGATGCACAGTCAGGGAATCAAACTCCCAACTTTTGCCACTTAACTCCCTAAGCTATCCGACCAGGTTGGAGCCTCGGATTTATATCTCCTGGAATGGCTACCCAAGTCTTCAGGAAAAACGTAGGTTAGCTTTTAAGTGGCACTTAAGCTGCCAAGCATGGATTCTGCTTCTCAGCGTGCAGGATTTAAGAACAATGACCTCGCATCTCATGAACCATTGAGCTGAGAAGAAGTAGAAAGCTTTATTTCATGCCCTGCCACCCAGCGGGATCCGCAAGACCCACCCACCCCGATCATCCCCACTGTCCCAATGGGCAACAGTCTACACCCTACATTAAGAGCGGGGCAGGAGATAGATGGAGACCTACTGGCAAATCTCTTGTTGATTTTCCAAAGACCAGAGATGATTTATGATTCCCAACCGAGCCACCAACACAACAACATTTTCTTTTTCCATTTGTAGCAGAGGAGATGAGATTCCCTCTTTCTGGTCTTTGGGGGGGAGGTCAAATCCAAGGCTTCAGAGGGTAGTGCTTAGAAGCAACACTCCTTCATAAATGTTGGCCTCTTTTACCAACTCTTGGCTGGCAAAATTTTCCAGCCTGAGTTAAAAAGTACACTGGAAGACGCCTGACATCGGCTAACTTCTGACCCGCTTCATAATGCCGGCAACGCAGCAGACTGCTCTGGCAAAATGAGCTACAATGCAAGGCTAGTGGTTACTAAACACTGGGTGTTTTATGCTTTCGGTCCTCCTCCTGCCACATGCAGCTTGATTTTTTGCTTGCATGAGCTACCTGCTCATGTGTTTGTTTATTGAACCGGCATTCCAGCCAAATGACGCCCCGTCTTCTCCCTTAGCTACTCAAAGATTGGCTGGCGGCCAAAGATTCTGCCCCCTTCCTTTGACCCTGGATTCTGGACCAGACGCTGCAGGCTGGCCCATCTTTGCTGTCCGGACAATACCCACAAACCAATTCACCACGTGATTGCAAGATGCTGGGGAGATCTTAGGACTTCATGAGATTCTGGGGGACAAACCGTGTCTTGGGAAACAGTAGAAAGCCATATTTGTTGAGGGCGCAGCTAATCTCCAGTCTGCACACTTTTGTGGCCCAGTTTTGTTGACTGTTATTTTGGAGATGCCGGTCAATATATTATCTGGCATGTGGCATGCTGGCCGTATCCAAAATAATTTTCGAGTCACCGGAAAAATATCGCTGCAAGTGCTCCTGAAGGCATTTCCTTGTTTGTTTGGCTTTCCACATTCACCGGGGGGGAGGGTGTGTGTGTGACAAAGCGTTTTACTGTTCCGTTTTATATTTATATGTGGTATGTTTTTCTGAGCAGCAGGAGCAGCAGAAGACAGATGATTTGAGAACAAATATAAAATTAACGCAGGGCTCTGCCGACGCTTGCTCTTTCCCAGGTACTAAAGTGAAGAGAGGGGACCAGCAGCAGATCAGCCAGGAGAAGCAACAGCTGCCGTATCTGCTGGTGATGGCAATGCCACCGGAGCGGGCAGACCAACTGCAAAGCCACTCCCGGCAAAAACGAGCCGCAGCTAACGCGGAGTACTGCAGCCAGTAAGTGGTGCAAGGCCAGGAGGGAATCAAGAATACCCTGTTGCAGGGAAATCAGTAGAGACGCCTTGGTACGCAGGTGATCGAACCAGTCTTCCACGCTGGTGGTGGCCATACCGCCAGCTCTGCTGATGCCCCACTTGAGTTGGCAATATGTAGAATATGCGAGCAGGATGACCGCCAAGAAGCTGAGGACCCTGGTTTTGTAGAGGCAGTGAATACGTGCTGGGTTTTTAGTCCAAACATTCCAGGAAATTCTAAACATTTGTTTTCAGCACCATGGACAGGTCCCTTAAACCTTGGGCCATGACGCCACTCCACAGTTTAGCAACTGTGACGCGGCTTGAGAGCGTGACGCCACTCCACAGTTTAGCAACTGTGACGTGGCTTGAGAATGCGTATGTCACCACCAAGACCAGGATGGAGAGTGTGATGCCTTCCAGATGTTGTTGGGGGTGACGATGCTCTCCTCCTTCACTCCTTCACTGATGAGAGTCCAACCACATCTGGAAAACCACATGTTTTCCAGGCCTGGATTAAGATCAGTTTGTATGCAAATAGAGACAGAAGTGTGGGCATTTGGGGGTCAGGCAAATAATCCAAAGGAAAGTGGGAAGACAGATATCCCATGAGTCAGGAGTAGCACGAGCAATGTGGTCCGAGACCAGCTGCCGTATTACTCTGATTTGGAGGCCACCGTTCAAACTAGACGGTACGGAGCAGCGATTAGCAGCTAAAAGGATGCTCGCGGTCCAGCCAAGATTCCTGCAGTTTGTTTGAGATGAGCAATATTTTCAAGATATTTCTTAGAGGCCTTTTGAGTGTAAGGGTCCACGCTTTATACCACTCTCTTGTTCAAACTAGTTCTCACACACAAGTGCAAGGAAGAAAATATCACAAAAGCAACGTGCCACCTCATGAGAACAGAAGTTTTCTCATGTTGACAGCAACAATTCGGTTTTTTTTACTTTTCTTGGTGCCTGAGTAATCAGAATTGGAAAGGAAGCCCATGTTTACCTGCGGGTGGCCAATCAGAAAGCGAAGCGAGCTAATTTGCGAGCAATGGGCTGTGAGAAAAAAATCCCAGCTCTAACTAAAAGATATATTTCAGTGTTTAAAGGATTTCGATTTTTTGATGTTCCATCTCTCTCACCTAGTTTGAAGTGACTTCAGGAAAGTGAAATTGAATTGGCCAACCCCAGAGTCTTTCCTGAGGTGAAAGAGAGAAAAATTGGGTTTTTTTTCAGTGGCTTAGAGAAAGGGGTCGGAAGGCCAGGAGGGCTCAAGGTTTCGTCTCTAACTCTTTCTGGATTCTTCTGCTCCAGATCCCCAGAGGAGAAGAACTGTTGCGTGCGACGCCTCTACATCGACTTCCGGAAGGACTTAAAATGGAAGTGGATCCATGAACCCAAGGGCTACTACGCCAACTTCTGCATGGGGCCTTGCCCGTATCTCTGGAGCTCAGACAGTCAGTACAGCAAGGTGAGGATCCTGCCTATCCCGAAACCTCTCATATTTCTGTCTCCGTTTTCCCTCCTCCTTTCAGAACTTGGCATGTGGCGTCTTGCCTTGTATTTCAGAAAGTAACTTTCAAAATCATAATGACTTCCGGGTTGAGAATGAGCAATATTTTCAAGGTATTTCTTAGAAGCCTTTTGAGTGTAAGTGTCCACGCTTTATACATCTCTCTTGTTGATCCTGGTTCTCCCACACACGCGCAATCTTGTTGATCCTGGTTCTCCCACACACGTGCAAGAAGAAAAATATCACAAAACCAATGTGGCACATCATGAGAACAGAAGCTTTCTCGTGTTGACAGACACAATCCGTTTCTTACTTTTCTGATTTGAGTTACTTTTGAAAAAACTGAAGTGCTGTTCAATGGAGGGTAGTTGCTGCAGTTCTAAATAGGTGTTTTTCCTTGTCCTCCGAACAGGTTCTGTCTCTCTACAACCAACACAATCCATCTGGCTCGGCCACCCCCTGCTGCGTCCCGAACGAGCTGGACCCCCTCGGCATCATCTACTACGTGGGCCGCCAGGCTAAAGTAGAACAGCTCTCCAACATGATCGTCAAGTCGTGTCGCTGCAGCTGAAGACAAGGTGGCATGGACTTGCATTCTGGGTGGACTGGAATTTTTAAAATTAAAAACAAAACACAAACAAAAATAAACCCCCACAAAATCCAAGAGGAGAAGAGGCTAGGACTGAAACCAAGAGGACAATGGTCAGCCCCTTCCCCTTGATGAAAACCTCATGCCTTAAAAAGAGAGAGAAAGAGAGAGACACACAACTTTTCTTTTTTTTAAAAAAAAAACCCTCATCCAGTGAGATTTATTATTATTATAATTATTATTATTATAATTATTATTATTTTATTTTGTAAAGTTATGGTTTTGAGGGGTGGGGAAACCTGGAATACCTTTTAATGGTTTGGCCTCGGGGTCAGAGAGAATTAGAATAATATCGGCTCAAACAGAAGGGGGGGAGAGAACATGTCATCATGTCGTTTCCTCTGTAGTTTTCCTGCTGTAAAGAACGGGTTGGGCGAATAATCTGGAAAGGGACATTTTTCATGGAGGTGGAAAGCCAGTGAAGAAAGGGTGCCCCGCCCCAAAAAAAACCATGCCAAGGTGATAGAAAAACATCAGATGGGGGTCATCTTCAGAGGGCAAAGGATGATGTCCAGGGCCAGCATCCTTAAGTTTTCCAGAGGTCAGAACGGCTGCCCTCTGGACGGTACGACGACGATGCCCTCGCTTCCAGCAGGTGACTGTGTCGCGGGACGATGCCGAGATCGCCTGACAGACGTTCCCAGACCTTCGTGATCCCAATCCACCCCACCCCGAAGACAGCAGGCGAGGTTTCCGTTCGATACACATTTCAGAAATGGAATGCCACCTGCCCGCCCACCCGGAGACCACTGCACGGCTGAACCCGCTCTGCGCTCCACTCTGATTCCGTCCTCTTATCTCCCTTTGGCAAGTTGGCTCCAGTCCTCGTGGCCGTTCGCCCTACAACACGGGTTCGTCCCTTGCCAGGAACATGTGAAGAATGGAAAAGAGAGGGAAGTTCTTATGGGGAGAAGAGGACTCCACCCACCAATGACTTGTCCCCTCCTTCTGGCCACTTAGACCCGCCTTCTCTGCCAGAGCCTCTTGTCCCCCCCTTTTGACTGCTCAGCTGGTAGAGGATGCCGGAGACCAAAAGGGGCAACCCAGAGAAAGCTTTTTGGGGTGCCATGGATTGTTTTGCATTCGTTCAATCTGAGGTTCGCCTCCAGCAACGAAGGGGGTGGCGGAGAAAGGAGCTGTTTAAAGGTCCAAATTGGGCCAATTGGAATTTCAATGTCACGTCTGAGTGTAATATTAAATATTTCTATTTCCCTGCCTGGATTTGCAAAAAAGAAAAAAAATGTGTTCTTGGGTTGCCTACGACTCCGCTTCCCAGAGATGGGAATAAAATCCATGAGTACTATTTCTTTTTTTATATATACTAATCCTTTACCCCCACCAACTCCAACAGGTCATAAGGGAGAGCAGGAATAGCCATTTTCACCCTCTTTTCTAATGCTAGAAGACGGTGAAGTATCAGCAATAAATGTAAGGCAATCAAAGGTTGTTCCTTGTAGATAACTAATGAAAACTCTGCTCCAGGATGTGGAGAAGTTCCCTCTTTTTTAATTATTTGGAATTACAACTAGCACATCTTGTTTTGCAAAAGTATGTTCCCCCAAGCTTTGCCCTGTACCGAGAAAATATTAATAGCCACTAAATCTGATGCCTCTTGAGTTTGGAAGTTGGCAGAGCAAGAAATGAGCAAACCCAAGGACTGTTAACTATGGGAATGGAACAGAATCTAAATGTATAAAGGCAGTGAACTTTCAAATGCACTACAGAGGATGGGGAACAGGTTTGATTTTTGTGCCCTGGTTGTATGCAAAGTTCCCAAATCTATCAGGCTGGCGACTTAACCGTACTTTTCCTTCGATCCAGCAAAATTGGTCCTAGACGTGTACGAGCGTTTATACAGGCAGAACAGATCTTGAGGAATGGAAAGCCAAGGGTCGTATTCAGAGAACAAGCCGGAGGCCGCCCCGGATGCAGCAGGATGGGTTCACTACGTTTTGAAGTCATTCAGGTTTCCCCAAACCTGGCTATCTAGTGCTCCGTTCACCACCAAGTCCAGCTGGTTTGCTGGCACTTTTCCAGCCTGCAGGGCAGCAGGGCTAATTGACGTGGTTGCATTCCCCTTTACACCACGGAGTAAATATTTACAAGCGTCACGTTCTTGGCAAAGGGCCTTGGCTCCTACATGGGGGGCCAGAGCTCCTTCTGGGTGACCTTGCAGAAGTGGGTTCTTTGTTCACCACGAGGACAACAACTCAAAAGGGGGTGTTCCAGGCCAGCGCGAGGATGCAGCTGGCTCCGGGGAGGGCTGCCAAAGCCAGCTGTTTACAACCAGGCAGCTTGGCCGGCACTTCGCTGGCTTGTGAGAATTTGTTGACAAAAAAAAAGGGAGGGACTGGGAAAAGGGGAGAGAGTTTGAAAGCGGGGTACGTAGGATGGCAAAAAACCCCCACACACAAGGATGTTGTGTTGTGGCTGTGAATTTTGCCTCGTTTTATAGCCCTAGCATCCTTTAAAGCAGTGGTCCCCAACCTTGGGCTTCCAGATGTTCTTGGACTTCAACTCCCAGAAATCCTGGCCAGCAGAGGTGGTGGTGAAGGCTTCTGGGAGTTGTAGTCCAAGAACATCTGGCGGCCCGAGGTTGGGGACCACTGCTTTAAAGAGCCAATTCGCACACTTCCTTTGTAGGTTGGGGACCACTGCTTTAAAGAGCCACTTCCTTTGTGTTCCATTTCGAAGACTGGCAGGGAACGTGTGTCCACGGAATCTCTGAGCCACGAACGTTGCCTCTGAGGAAACTGTGGGGCCTACCTTAAAGGGCTATTGTAAGGATGGAGAAAAACATGAATGTGTTTGGGTGGATTCCGGGAATTAGGATAGTTCGGATCATTGGCTTCCCCTCTTTTGGCCTTGGGGCGCCCCAAAACGTGTCCCTGCGTCAGTTGTGAAAGATGGTGGGGCATTGGAGGGGTGCTACAGTTCACAAAGAGCAAGGAGAAGCAACCTGGCCCTCCAAACGTGTTTGGACTACAACTCCCAGAAACCTTGGCAGACAGAGCCAGTTGGTGAGGAATGACAAAAAGCGTCACTTAACAACCAACTCCCAGAAACAGAGTCCCCTCTCCAACATAAAGGACACCATCAAAGCCTGCCGGGCCTCTGTATCACTGTGCATGAATGAGCAGCATCGTGTAATATTGGTGAGGAATGACAAAAAGCGTCACTTAACAACCTGTGGAGGGCCACAGAGTCCCCTCTCCAACATAAAGGACACCATCAAAGCCTGCCGGGCCTCTGTATCACTGTGCATGAATGAGCAGCATCCTGTAATATAGTGGTCCCCAACCTTGGGCATCCAGATGTTCTTGGACTACAACTCCCAGAAGCCTTCACCATCACCTCTGCTGGCCAGGATTTCTGGGAATTGAAGTCCAAGAACATCTGGAAACCCAAGGTTGGGGACCACTGCTGTAAGGCACCCAATCCCCACCTACTGCTCCACAACAGGGGAGAAGATTCAGAACAGTGGGGCAAGCTACCTTTTAAATAACATTTGTTCTCTACCCTGTTGAGAAAGTCCAGGACCCCAACTGGAACTGGAGCTAAGAAAAAAAAGTTACTTCTTTTGAACTGCGTCGCTCCCAGAATCTCCCGGTCAACATGGCCCCAGTCTTTAAAAAAATAGGAGAAGAAGAACTTTTCTAAGCAATGGGCGGAAGACTGCTGTGTTTCAGAAGAATAGCTGGCTACCCAGAAACATAAGTGGATAAGCCGAAAGAACAGGGGAGTGCAAACTGATTAGATTTTTTAAAAAGTGTACAGAAGAGAGGCTGCAGAGCAGAGCTTAGCAGGCGACAGAGAGTCTGTCTGAGCACCGGCAGCAAATATGTTCCCAGCCCTGTCTTTGGAACCCTTTTCTTGTCTCCTGAGCTACAGCCTGCTGTTTGCCTTCTCGGACGCGATTTTCAAGTTCTTGACAGCGTCGGCCTTCGCCCAGAGATGCTCCAGGTTCATCGGACGATCCTAAGTGCTCAGCGCTGAGATCGATCGCCTTGCAGCCTTCCTTTCCCTTCCTTTAAGGGACATACCTTAAAGCTTCTGTTTTAATTCCCAGCAATCAAAAGCTGGCACAATTGGCAAAAGGTGGACAGAGGAGGCTGGCGTGAGAACGAACAGACCCCTCTTCACCTCTAAGGCAGTTCTGCTTCCAAGGAAGCACGACTGTATCCTCTCGTTCAGCCCTCACTTTCGGGAGATCGATGGAAAGAAAGCTCAAATGGCCAATAATCATGGTACCGGAGATCCCCATTTAGTTTCTGCACCTTAAGTCTCTCGTTGGAATCGGGCATGCTCTTGACATGCTCAGAGGCAGTCTCTTCTCTGTGATCCCCTCTCTCTGATTCAACAGGGTGTGAACATTTGAGCTGGATGCAAAAGGGCAGAAGGGAGAGAGGAATCCAAGCTATTTTAGGGAATCTCCTCAGTCTTAGGACTAGAGAGAGAGGGATAAGTAGAAATCTCTGGCCCGCCCGTCATGCGCAGCAAGGCACCCGACCGACTCCTGTGGATCCTGCCAAGATCCCTCTCTGTAAACACACATGGGGAGTTTCCTTCCGTTGCCAGGGACCGGAACTCTGCTCAAGCATCTGAACTGTAAACAGAAGCTTGGCTGGAAAGAGCTTGAGTGAGTGCAGGAGCTTTTTCTGGGGGTGGTTCGTGGTAAACACGGAAGGCAGGGCGCCTCACGAGGAGCAGCCGTTTGGAAAGCCGCTCTCTATTACCCGACCACCACCACTTGTTTGTCGGACGGAGCGGAGATCTGGAGGAAGCCGGGCTGGGCTGTCTCGAACTCACCTCCACCTGTCGCCTTTCTCAAAGATTTCGTGGCCTTCCACGGGGCAGGCAAGGCTGTCGTGGTGCAAAACCAGATCATGACAGTTGGAGCTGCTTTGGGAAGGATTCGCATCAGCACCAACGGGTCATCAGGATGAAATGGGCAAAGAGGCGCAGAACTGCACCCCCAAACAAATTTGAACCAGCCATGAGTCTCATTGGGGAGGGGGGGCGCATGCCTCCCAAAATGTGGATGCGAGCCAGCCCAAAAAGAAAAATCACAAGAGGACAAAAAGGATATTGCTCTGCATAAATTTCCACAAGCTGATTTATATGGTGCAAAATTAGAAAGGGCTTCTATAATTTAATATACCATATTTTTCGCACCATAAGACGCACCTTTTCCCCACAAAGCAGGGGCGTGGAAAGTCTGTGCATCTTATGGTGCGAAGAAAACAGATTATATTTTCCTGTTTTCTTCTCCTAAAAAATTGGTGTGTCTTATGGAAAGGTGTGGCATAAATTTCCACAAGCTGATTTATATGGACTGGTGCAAAATTAGAAAGGGCCTCTAGAATTTAATATAATTTAATATTTAATAGAATTTAATTTATAATATCATTCTTGTTTGACCAGGGAAGGGAGAGACCAGGAGACCTGTGGGTTTGTTGTCCAGGAGCTACTCGCTGGGGAATGATGGGAGTCCTCAGCTGGAGTTTTTACAGCCTCGCATGCTGCCTGGAGAAAGCGCAGCTGGGAGGGGCTTTTCTGAGCTGCAGAGACTGTCAATCTATCCAGCATTAACCAATCATTCCTTCCCTGCCTCTGAATTCAGACAGAGACCCACCTCTCTGTTGAACTCTATTATTGAGAAAGCAGTTATGTTTGCCAATTTGCTGTTTTGATCTGTTCAATTGTAAGTAATAAAACCTTTTATTCTTTCTCCTACTGTCCCAAAGCGAGTTACTGAAATTGTAAGTGGATGAGAAAAAGGGGTGAACTAACCTGGGGGGGAACTTGAAGCTATTTTGCTCAGTGAAATCATGCACTTCTGCTGGGCCGCTAGAGGAACTGAACCCCCACGATGGGAACTAGAGTCCAGACACCCGGCCATACACATACAAAACCTTCACTTTAAACCAGACATTGGGCAGACGTTAAAACAGAGGATGGCTCCTGAAGGATGATGGTTCTCTGGCAGATATTCAACAGGAGGACTGCCCTCTCTAAAAAGGGATGTGTGACCCTCCTCCTCTTGTTTGACACCTTGACCCCTAAGCCTGTGACCCAGCCTACATAATATAATAGGCTTGAATGTAGGGGTGGGGTGGGATGGGGGTGTTAAAAGCTCTGTCTCTTCTTGCTCACCTTGGTTTTGTGCCCTGTTCCCCCCCCCGTGTGTGTGTGTATGTGTGTGTGCATGAAAAACACTTGGGAAAAATAGCTTTTTTCATGTAATGTGTGGCATAAGAGAGAAAGAAAGAAAGAAAGAAAGAAAGAAAGAAAGAAAGAAAG